TTATTTATAATGATGTCTGGAGCTTGCCTCCTAGGATTCAATGGGCAGTAGATGAAATGATGGTGGAAACTTCACTTTGGGAACTGACAAGGGCTGCCTGGCTTGAAGACTATATAGGAACATTCCATAGGGGCTTGGGACTCTAGTACAGAGAGAGGGGAGACAGGCACATATGTCAAAGGTTAAAGAAGATGAAGCAACATCCCTGGAAGTACAAAGCTGTGTGAGTTATATGGGCCGAGGGAATTTGTAGTAATGGAGAAGGAGAGTATGGTCTGGGCTCAAAGAACCAGATCGAAGGGGAATTTCCCCACATGAATTTCATGCTCCCAACAGTTGGGTTTTAGAGGAAACATATTGTCTTAATTGTTGGCCAGTTGTCACACCTTCTCTAGTTCTCAGCTGTTCTGTGGAGTATGCTGCAGGAGGCCTCTCTCTAGGGAGCGTAGGGTACTCAGGGGGACACAGTGTCCAATATGAGAGATGTTACAATACCGACAGCAATGGAGTAACAACAAGAGGGAAAAAAAAAGAAGCTAGGAAAAATAGGGTGTGGGGCCAGAGGAGGCCAAGCTAGGTTTGACAGAGATGGGGGAAGGTATAAGCTCTGAAGGTTATGGTCAGATGTTTGCTGTAACAACAGCTAACATTTATAGAATGTTTTAAAAAGTTAGCAAAGTAAATTCCCCACATTTTCTTATTTGATCCTCACAACAACACTGCAAGGTAGGTACTATTATTATCCTCATTTTATAGAGGAGGAAAACTGAGGCAGAGGTTAAGTGACTTGTCTGGGGTCACACAGATAGTAAGGGTTTCCTAGACTCCTAGCTCAGCATGATACCTACTTTGCTACTCAGCTGGCCATGGTATGGCTTAAGGATGGGCACCCAAGGACTTTTCCTTGGACAGGGCATGTGAGGGCTTCGATCTCAGGATTTATTATGCATGCCCAGGTTCCCCTGTCCTCCACTTCTACTGTAGCAGAGACTGGGGGCTGGGGAGGGAGGAGGAGAAGAGCTGACTGGAGAGTGGAGCCTCTCTCAGGCTTCCTCCAAGCTGCCAGGGGAAGCCAGGAGCACAAGCTTCTGCAGGGCAGGGAAGGGAGGAGAGTTAGTTAACAAGTGCTTATTAAGCACTTATTCTGTCAATAGGCTAAGCTCTGGGCTTAGAGAAAGGCAAAAACACTGTTTATCCAGAGGAAGCCAAGATGCTAATAATTTTGCTAATATGCAAAAAACTGTATCTACAAGAAGATATAACCAGTCTATGAGGAAGGTTATGCTAGAGGGAAAGCATCAGCAGTGGAGGTGCCGGCAAAGACTCCTACAGAAGACAGGATTTAAGCCAAGTTTTGAAAGAGTCGTCAAGGATAAGAAAGCAAGGTTCTTAGGCACAGAGGATAGTACGGAGATCAACTGATTCAACCCACAAGAGTCAGGGGAGATAGGACACTGTAGTCAATGCAGGGTGATGGCCTGTGAAAGAAATGAGGAATGGAGGGAGGTGTATGAAGTGAGAGAGAATGGAAAAGAACTAGGTGGGTAGCGGGGAGAAGAGAGGAGGCCAGCCAGGGTAAGAGGTCTTCCTGACAACTCAGAGCACCAGGCCATGTTGCAAGTTCTAGTTCTGCCACTAAGCAAGTCCATTCCTGTCTCTGGGACTATTTTCTCATTTGCAAAATACCGTGACATGTTGGAGTAGTTGTTGCTATGACTCTCTGCAATGTCAGTATTTATGATACTCTTTGCCCTGGCCCTGCTTGGCAGCTGAAAGATCTCTCTTCCTCAATCCTCCGGCTACTTCACAGATCCTTCTGAAGGATCTTGATAGCTGTTAAAGGAGGTATAATGGAAAGAGCCCAGGATTTGGAGTGAGAGGATCCAGATTCAAAATTTGGCTATGCCACTTATGACCTATATGACTTTGAACTAACCTCTCTGGGCCCAAGTATCCTCCTCTACTAAATGAGGAAGTTTGCTTATAAATGATAATGTTGCACTAGAGAAAGCAGATTACTGCTGGGTCCATGTATCCTTTGTGGACTGGACCATATCACCTCAAAAGTCAGTTCTAAATTTATAAACCCATGAGAAGATGTGCTCTAAGATTTCTTCCAGAAAAAATCTCTGAAATTTTCTATAATGCATAGGAATTAACAAGGAAGAGAGGATGGGGAGAACATTCTAGGTATGAAGGTAGGAAAGTGCAAGCTGTGTTTTGGGCAGAGAGAGTAATCCCTGCCTGCAACTTAGGAGAAATAGAAGATTTGAAAGGTAGGCTGGCAGGATGAGACACTGGAGAGCCTTGAGGGCAAAGAAATCTGAGCTTGAGAAGCAGCACGGCACAGGAGCAGGAGGCAGGAAGGCTAGATTTGGACTCAGAGTATATAAGATCCAATCTTGCTCCAGTGATGTCACCTCCATATGACCACAGATGAGTCATTTAACCTGTTGTTGGGCCTCAAGCTTGTTCATCTATAAAATGATAGCCTTGGGCTGGATCAGTCTTCTAGTTTTAAATGGATACTCTACCCACTCTTGCTGGAGCTAAAGGCCACCATCACCATGCAAACTCCTGGGCTTTACTGTAATAGAGTTGCTATCAAATCTCTAATCTCACATGCAGGATACAACAGTCATTTGGTCTCTTTCCCCTCCTTTAGCTCCTCTAACCAGTCTACTATCAAGCCCTGCCTTTACTTCTTTGGAAAGGAGAAGCAGCATAAGGCTGTGGATCACTGTTCTTTGAGTTCACAGACTCTGGGTTAAAATTCCACCTCTGCCACTTGCTACTTGTGTAACCTTGGACAAGTCATTTCATTCCACTGGACCTCAGTTTCCTCATCTGTAAAATGTGGATGGATGAAATGATTTCTAATTCAGTTTGACAACTACATACTATTTCCTGTGACTGCCTATGAAATCTGTTGCAGATTTTACAGTACTCACAGAGGATCAGAACTGGAAGTAATTACTTAGCCTAATACCTTCACGAAAAAACAGACCCAGAGAGGAAAAGCAACCTGTCCAAAGTCACAGAGCTGGTCAGTGGCAGAGCCTAGACTAAAACATCGGCCTCTTGAGTCCTCTATGCCTAAGAACCTTGCTTTCTTATCCTTCACGACTCTTTCAAAACCTGGCTTAAATCTACAAACACTTACTGATGTTTATTATCTGCAAAGACCCTGTTCTGAAATAGATCTTTTTCATACAAAAATGAACAAGGCCAGGCCCTGGCTCTTAGGGAGCTCATGGAGAGGGCGGGGGAGAGGAGATCAAACACTTACACAGATAAATATAAATACGATAGAGATGCTATGTTGGTCAGAGGAAGGAGAGATCATTTCTCATTGGCAGGGATGAAAGAAGGCTTCCTGAAGGTAGCATTTGAGCTGGCCCTTGAAGGGGAGATATTTGAAAAGGGAGAAACAAGAGGGCACCCCAGTCACTGGAGCAGAATGAACAGAGACGGGGGCAGGAAAGATCCAAGTATGTTTCATTCCATGTGGCTGGAGCACAGAATGTAGATAAAATAGTGGGATAAAACTTGAAAAATACAGAGAAGACTTATGGAGGAACTTGAACCAGGACACAGGACTCTTGTCAGCATTTTCAAAAGCACCTGGACCATGTCCCAGCGAAGCAGAGAACAAGTCTCCAGGCTGAGATTGGTAAAGGTCTCCCTAGCCAGCAGGTCACCCTAGGAGATTGATAGCAGCAGAGTGTACCTTTCTTTCTGAGTTGGAAGAATTAAGGTGGGAACAGCTGTTCCCTGACTGCTTGCCCCAAGAAGCAAATCTTCCTCCACAAATACAAGGGCTCTAGGCCCTAGGGGCATTTTAGAGTGCTGACTCATACTTCAGAGAAATGACAAATAACTGGCAACCAAAACCAAACATTTTCTTTTCTGGAAAGAAGGGAAGCTGTTGTTGTTACTGAAACATCCAGGGTTTTACTCTATCTCCTTTCAAAAAGGCAGACAGCAAATGTAGGTGCCCCATTCCTTTTCCAAAGTCCATATCTGATAAGTTGCAGGCCCCTCTGGGCACTGTTCCTTTCTCAGTCCCCGGGGACTGGCTATCTCTGAGGACACAAAAGGAAGCTAAAAAAAAAAATCTTGGCTAATTACTCTATGGGGAGGACTCTTGTTTCAAAGACAAGTACAGAGAGATGATGGTCAGGGACTTAGACAGAAGAAGTTCTGGGATAAAGGAGAAAAGCCTACAGATCCTTCTCCCAAGGGCTGGCAGAGCTGAGACCAGGAGAACTGACTCAGTGAGGCTTCTCTCTCTCTTGTCCACACCTGACGTGAGAAGGAATAGGGTTGGTTGACCTTTAAAATCCCTTTTAACTCTAAATCTATGATCCTCTGACGCTTCAACTTGGCAGCCAAGACCCTGATCTGACTCTTCTAGGCTTTCCTCATACCCTAAGGGCCAAAATGCTTTGAATGGCATAGAGACTCTAGAAAGATTGAAGGGGGAAAAGGTCTCTCTTAAGAAACAACTTTTCAAGCAGGGAATCAAACACAAAGCAGAGTCATCCCTGAAAATTCTGCACTGGACTCTGCCAGAAAGACAATAATTATAAGGACAGGATAAACTTCCAAGGCCCAACACCATGGTGCTGGGGTGGGTGGGCAGAGCAGGAAGAACGGGGACTGACTCCAAAAGGCAGGGTGAGAAAGGAGGTGCTGTTTGCATCTTAGATGGCTTCCCCAAATATAAGGAAGGCAGTGGCATGTCAGCTCAATACGGTGCTACCTGGGGCCTGAGCACATGGTCTTTCAGTCACCTTGTCAGGTCACGGCAGGCTCTCAGGGTGGAGGTGGGGAAGAGGGTGAGAAAAATGAATCTAACCCTATCCCAAATGGCTCACTAACCCACCCCCTTCACCAAACCCAGGAATACTGGCCACGTGCTCATAATCCCCAAGCAGGCAACCATTTGCCACCTATTTCCCTCTCTACTCCCCTCTCTCCCTGCCATGGGTACTTACTGTTTCATGGCCATGAGCTTTGAGTCCATACTCTCCTGTTTGCCCTTCATCATCTGAACATCCGTTAGCAGCTTGGTGACGTTGTCCTGTCGGACCTTTATATCCTCATGCTTTATGCTGGAGACCTGGGGGCATGAGAAGATGGACTGAGTCAATGAGGTCCCTCATCCAATCCTGGCCTTTGTTAGGACCCACACTAACCCAGTGAGCTTGACGCAGGCCTGAAAACCAGTGTTCAGGAGATGTGGACAGCAAGGCCTTTTGGATTTTATGGTTTTTTCCCATGGTACCTATGGTGGCCTGAGGGGACCCTTCAGCTCAGAGCAAAGGAAGGAAGGTGGAGTATGACCAGGCTGGTTATGCATGCATACACACAGAAATATATATTTATATCCATAGAGTATTTCGTTTTCAAGTACCCTGGGAATAAAGCAATCTGACCACTAAGTTAATGTGGAGAGAGTGTGCAAGGAGCTGTTGAAGCTGAAGTGGCAGCTTCCCAGCATATCTGGCCTCTAGCAATATGTGCGGGGGGGGGGGGGGGAGACTGAATGGGGCTTGGGGTCCTTGGGGCTCTTCCTTAGCCCCAAGCTAGCTTGGACACTGCCTCCATTTTTAGCAGGAACTGGAAATGCTTCTCTGGCTACATAGTAGTATAGAAATAGTATGCTCTAATTAGCTGCCTCCCACTCGACATTACAGGGCTCCTGATTCTGGCCTGCCTTTACCCATACATGTAGGGAGGCTAAAGAGAGGGAGCGCAGGGAGGGAGCCTAGGTACCACACCCCAGGAACTCCAATCCTGACTCAGGTTCTAGTGTAGTTCAGAAGCACTTTGGGGAAGGAAAGCCCCACAGAGGTGACCTAGCTTAATAGGCAGAAGGGAAAGGAAGAAGAAGAGCCACTCTGCCTCAGCCCAGACACTACCTCAGGGCTGTCCCAAAGTGTCTTTGCCCCGAGAAACATAGAAGCTGCAGCAAAGTGGCCCCAGGCCACCAAAGGGCACTTCAGGGTAGGTCTGCCCATGTTGTCGTGGGCTGCAGGGGCTCAGTGAGAATGGGAGGGACAGGGACTTACACTGGTCACTTTCCTCTTGATGTTCTCCAAGAGCTGCTCTTGGCCCCGGATAAAGAACGGGTGCTGAAACTCTGTGTCATCTTTCTCTGGCTTCACCAGGCCACCTTGTTCAATGTGGACAACCTTCCGAAAACCATCTGTATCATAAAGAAGGAAGAGAAACAAAGGTCAGGGGCATCTACACATTCTTTTCCATGCCATGTCTTTAGGAAGAAGGAGAAACCAGGGCAACACCCTCAATACTTAAGGCACTTCATAAAGGTCCCCCCTCAATAGTGATGGGGAAGGAGGCACCATCGCATCAAAGTCCTTCCTACACTGTCTACAATGCTCCAATTAGGGTCTGACTGGGGCAGGAGAGGGGCACAGAAAAGCTATCAACCCCTAGGAGGGACTGGGCCTCTCCTAATACAGCTAAAGTTTACCTTGGCTTTCTTAGCTTCTGGATTACACTGCTGACTCATATTGTCTCCAGCCCATTAAAATCCCCAGATCTTTTTCAGATGAAACACTATTTACCCACACACCTATCTTGTACCTGTGAAGTAGATTTTTTGGAACTCAAGTATTAAGTCTTTACATTTATCTTTATTAAATTTCATCTTATTAGATTTAGCTCAATGTTCTTGCTTGTCAAGATCTTTTTGTATCCTGACTCCACCATCTGGTATTAGCTTGAAAACCTTCCAGTTTTTTCCCTCAGCAAATCCTATTCATCCTTCAGGGCTGAGGATTTCTCCCTAAAACTGACTTGACTATTACAGTACTTGTTGATGCCTCTTGCCCATGAAGAGCAATCATAACCTGTATCGCTTAATTTAGGGCATGGGGTTTTAGGTACAATTTTTGTCCCCATTGCATGGCAAGGGCAGCTTGGTCCACAGCAAGGACTTGAGAAGTGTCTGTTGTATTAACACGTATGTTCTACAAATGCCTCATTGTGGTGTGAAGGTGATCCTGAGTTTTTGAAGGCTATGCAAGCAGAACACTAACTTCTACTAAGTCCTATCATTCTGAGAATGCTTAGCTTATATAAAGCTCTGGCAAAAGACTGCTGTTCAAGGCTTAACTAAGCTAAGAATGGAATAGGTTGGAGGCTAGATGATGAATTCTTTGACTATGGCACATATGAAACAAAAATAAAAACTGGTCCCCAAGTCTATTCCATCTCCCTCTGCTTCTTCAGCGATGGTGGCAGAGAAGTGGGCAGAAGGTATTTTCACCTTTAGTTTCCAGACTTTATAAACATGACTGCCAAGTACTACTCTATGAGGGCTCTGTCCAGTGATTACTGAATTGACACACTATTGTAAAGAGGACAACCAAACCAATACTGATGTCCTCTGTAATAAAAAAAAAAAAAGGAAGCTGCAGCCAAATGGAAGGGTTGCATCAAAGAGTCTGCCTGGGGAGCAAAGAAGCCAGTTTCATTATATACCCAAAGACAACAGAAAACACATCATGGGACACTTGGTCATCATATCTTGTAGTTCTCATGATGAGCTGGAGCAAAAAGATCATGACAAAGATACCTGAAGTTTGTACCAACATGTTTACATAACACAAAGATAGAGGCATTCTGAGAAGAACCAGACAAGCTCTTCCAAAGTCAGTCTTGGTTTTTGTTCATTGTCTACAACGTGAAGTTAAGGGATGTGGACAAAGACAGCTGAACTATTAGTCTGCAGACCGATGCCACTTATATGGGCAGCAATGTTCCATTCTTCCTGGGTCCTGCTATACCTCCTTTTCTCACTAAAGAAAATACCATTACATCTGTTGTGTTTGTGTTTCAGTTCCCTGAAACCACATACTCCTTAAAGTAAAGATATTCAAGGCTAAACTGCAGTGAATATCAGAACACAAGACAAAGACAATGTCCCAAGACAAGATGCTGGTGTTTTCCTTTCAGCTCTTCCCCTTCATCCACAGAAGGGTGAGTAGGCTGGCTCAGTGATGAGGTGATACTCTGCTTAATGTTTACTCTTTGGATAAATGGAAGTGAAGCATACTCAAGGGGTGAAGATGACTGATTTAGGTTGGGCCAGCTGTGATAAATTGGATTGTCACTTTGGGGCTGATGGGAATGGGATTATAGGACTGTTGTTTTCTGGTTGATCCTGAATATCCTTTTAAAAAACACCTCTAGCCTTGTGTCTCTTTCATGTAGTTGCTTCTAGCACTCTAATACGAACTATTAATCAGCTGATCCTTCAGGCTAAATAAGGAAAGGAACAATAAAAAATGTATTGGAAAACACAGTTCTGGTTAAAGAAACAAAAATGGCCAAAGGTTTGTAGACTACTTGGAAGTTTCATGCCCACACATCATGAATATTTTATTTCAAACTAAAGTCAGAAGCTATTGGACATGGTGAGCACCAAACATTGCAAAAAAGTGAAACTGACTACTAACTTAAGCAGTAAATAACTGGTTACTGATATGGGGGTCAAATTAGAATAAACTCTCTCTCATGATGAGGTACATCAGAGGTCAAAATCAATAAATTAGAAGAAAGGTCAAAGATGAGAAGATGACACTGGGAGCTTTGACTCGATCTATTCAAATAAACTTTGACACCATATACAGAGAAATGGAAGGCAAAGATGTTGACCTTGAGTATCACCATTTTCTATTAGAGTTCAACCAAAGTAAAACAGCTGCTACAAGGAGTTGGCCAAAGGCAGCTTGAAACTGCCTTAACCAGCAAATGCTTGATCTCACTGTCAAGCAGACAGACATGCCAATCAAGGGCAACACCAGTTCAGATGGAGGAGGATGGTAGAAGATTACAAGCAATATCGTTTTATGAAATGGTGAAAGTAAAAACAAGTCTACAGAAAATTTGGCTTGAAAACCAAATGAGTCATATCATCAAAGAATATTAATAGATAAAACTGGCAGAAGCACAATAGACAAAATGAATTGAATTTGTCAAAATTTTTATACGGATCTATTTTCATAATCAGTGACAGATGAAGCATCACATTTGGACCCTAAAACTTCAATCTTCAGTGTTATGAATTAGAAATTGTTTCAGAAACATGAAGCTCTGGGCTCCTCTGCTGGGGAGGCTGAGGCTGATGGATTGCTTGAGTTTGGGAATTCTAAGCTGTAGCAGGCCTAAAGCCAAAAAGGTGTCAGTATTAAGTGTGACCCCAATATGGTGAGTCCTCAAGGGCTGAAGGTCACCAAGCTGTCTGAGGATGGATAAACCGGCCTAGGTGAGAATAATGGAGCAGGTTATAACTTTTAAGTACATAACTATTGGGATCTGGGCTCTGAGGGGCTACTTCAATTCCAGGTTGGAAAAAATAGGGACAATTCCAGTCTCCCCTCACCCCATCCCCACTCCCCAAAAAATGAGAAGAAGGAAAGAAAAAAAAGCAAATTAAGGAAGAGTGGCAGGATCAGAAAAGATATACACCAGAGAAATCCATGCTGGATGCTGCATAAACTTGAAATCCTAAAGTATCAAATTAAATTTTTATTTTCAGATCCTCATTCTCTCCCTCCTACTTTCCTCCCCCAATTGAGACAGCAAGAAAAACAAAACCTGTTACAAGCACACATAGTCAAACAAAACAAATTCCCACACTGGCCATGTTCCTCCCTGCCTCCCTAAATACATATCTATCTATCTATCTATCTATCTATCTATCTATCTATCTATCTATCTATCTATCTATCTATCTATCTGTCTATCTATATGCTAACTGTCATTTCTCTATCAGGAGGTGAGCAGCATGTTTCATCTGGAGTTGAGGCATATATTTATAAGAACTCTTAAAGAGGCAAGGATGGGGGACCTGTGGCCTTGAGGCCATATGTGGCCTTCTAGGTCCTTCTAGGTAGCCTTTTGACTGAGTCCAAGTTTTACAGAACAAATTCTTTTATTAAGGGGATTTGTTCTGTGAGGTTTGGATTCAGTCAAAGGGCCACACGTGGCCTTGAGGCTGCAGGTTCCCCATCCCTGGCCACCTAAACAAAAGGATGATAAAACAAATCAGGGATGATTTTAATATCCCCAAAGGCAGCTGAGATAACAACAGTTACCAATGAAAAAGATGCAGGGAATACACAAAAACTAAAAAATCCCACCAAAGCCTTGGGCATGGTAAAATCCAAACATGGCTTTAAAGGTTTTCCTTCAACAAGGAGTTTCTCAGGCATATGTTAAGATCACACAAGATTTACTGAAAAACATTTCTCTGATTATCAACATCAATGGAGGCATAAAACAGGGAGATGTATTCTTTCCAAAAGTGTTTAATGCTGTCACTGAAGATATTCAAATGCAAGAGCTATTTTTTCTATAGAAAGTAAGGATCTCTAGAAGGTCCAACTTATGGATGATGTGCTGGCTGCATCAAGTCCTACAGAGAACACACTATGGTTTCCTCAATGACAGCCATGATCTTAAAAGAGACTGGCTTACCAGTCAATTTAGGAAAAACTAAATGGATGAAAAACGCCTACTATCTGGCCTATGACAGCTTAGTGGTCACTCCATCTTCAAGGAGATGTGTGCTTGAAGGAGCCAGGCCATCTGTCTGGCAAGAGCAAGACATGACTGTTGGCATAGGCCAAATGCTCTACTGGTCCTCACAAAGCATAATCTAGAGGTCGAAGACCTCTGACGTGCTGGTGCTGTGCTGGCCCTGCATGGAGGTCTACGCATTGCTGAGAAAACCTGGAGAGATCTGAGCTGCTGTGGAGGGGGGTACCCATATCAGCAAAATTGCAGGACCCCTGAAATCAAGCTCTGGAGGACCACTACTAATCCTAGAGACTGCTGCCAGAATCATTTTAGTATTGGAAGTAACCTGAGAAATCACCCAGGTGATTCTTTCCCTTTGATAGAGAAGTTCAGGAAGTCACTCTGCATCTTGCAGCCAGCCTGCCGGTGGAAGCAGGGCCAGAACCAGAAGCTGAAGAGCCTGGGCTCGGTCTAGCCTCTTTGTGTTTCATCATGCCATGCTCGTCTTGTCCCCCAAAGAGACCGGGAGCTACAGCACCTCCCTTCCTTCTCTAGCTCTGCCACTCTGGCCTGGCTGCCACTCCTAAGAGAATAGAAGGGGAAGGGCCTGCTGTCCAAGGGCCTGGATTTCCCCACCCCCAGCATTACTCACACATATTGAGTTGCCGAACGAAGCTGGCCATGTTGTTGTGCTTGAAGTACTTTGGCAGCACCTCCTTGGCAAACTGGCCTTGGTCAAAAACATGGAAGCTATTCCCACTCTGTGGAGAAATAAAGCAGAGGGGAGTTAGTGGTGGACATGTGGCAGGGAACAGAGGTCAACCGCTCCCTGTCTCTTACTTTCCTTCCCTCCTGCCCGCATGGGGCCTAGGAGCCCAAGGGACATCATTCACTGGTATCTTCACTGTAATCTTGACAGTAAGCAGGAACACAATCCCCATACTGGACAGACTAAAAGCTGAGGGCTAGCAGAAGGCTCAGTTAAAAAGCAAGCCCATTTTGCATAGGCTGATGCAAAATGAATGTACTGTGTAAAAAGGTACAGCAATAATGTAAGATGATCAGCTGTGAATGACAGCTATTCTCAGAAATACAATGATCCATCTGAAGGACTTAGGATGAAAAATGTTATCCATTACTGACATTGTTTTATTTAAAATATTATATATACCCATAAAAAGTAAACTGAATGAAAAAAAAAAAAAGAGGCAAGTCCATGTCCTGCTTGGAAAGTTATCAGTTACAAAGGTTCCCTCTATTTGGCACAACCCCCATGAATCCATTGATTTCTCCTGGCTGCCCCTGCTCTACCCAGAACCATTCTGGGCCTCTTCCAGTGAAAGGACTTTCATACAAAATGCAAGGTGATGGGCTCCAACTCCCACTGACCCTAGGCACCTGAAGAGACCATATCAGAAGCCAGCCTCAAAAACAAAGATCTCATAGCCTACAACTCAAATCAGTCTTGGCATGTAGGCCGTGGCAGGCAGTGAACTTTGGAAAGTCTAGGCAAGAACTGGGGTTACTTCCAGGCACCAGCAGAAAGCCCAGTGGGCTTCTGTGAGGCAGCTGGGAAGTGCAAAGGAATAGAGAGCAATGGGCCTGAAGGCAAGAAGAGCTGAGTTCAAATCAGGCATAAGACATTTTCTAGCTGCATGACCCTGGGCAAGCCATTGAACCTCTGAGTGTTTCAGTTCCCACACATGTAAAGGGCGGGGAGGGTGTCACAATAGCACCTACCTACCTTCTGAAGTGCTTAGCACAGTGCCTGGCACAAAGCAGGTGTCTAATAAATGCTAGTTTCCTTCCTTCCTGAAGGTCAGGCTAACACATCTTAGGCATTTAAATGCCTGCTTTTACATTAGGTTCCCCTCCTCTGGGAAGCTAGGCAGCTCAGCGGATAGAGTGCCAGGCCTGAATTCAAATGTGGCCTCAGACATTTACTAGCCGTGTGACCCTGGGTAAGTCATTTCACCCTGTTTGCCTCAGCTTTCTCATCTGTAAAATGAGCTGGAGAAGGACATGGCAAGACATTCCAATATCTTTGCTAAGAAAACTCCAAATGGGGTCACGAAGAGTCAGACATGACTGAAATGAATGAACCACAATCACTCCTCTTCTGGGAAATTTAACCTCCCCCTTTCCTTAGGCATTTTCCCCCCCAAGAGCACTGTCCTGTCAGACAAACGGGCTGCCCCCCAAAATGAAATCTGTATTTCAACTATTCAGGAGGAAAACCAATGGCAATGTTTTGAGCAGTAAAACGTAGATATTTTTCTGACACATGAAGTAGGAAATAAATAAGACAAAAAAAAATCACAATGTCTACAAAACCTGGTTAGAACATTTTCTGCAATGGGGCACAATTTGTAACAGATTTCCTTTCATGAGCAAGGTTTGCCCTAGTTCCACCTCTCCTTCTGCCATACTGCAGACCAGGCAACAGTCAGGCAGGCCCTAAGCCCTAAGCTTCTGGCTTACAAGTAAGAAGAGATTCCCTAGCACTACTGCTCAGATGCCCAGAAAGAAAACTGTATTCTCCCTGTATTCACAAGCAACAAGCAAAAGACAACTACTAAGGCCGTCCCTACTATGTTCTAGGCACTGCTAAGTAGAAACACAGGGCAGGTAAGTAGTGCAGTGGATACAGTGCCAGGCCTGGAGTTAGGAAGCCCCAAGTTGAAATCTGGCCTCAGACACCTACTAGCTGTGTGACCCTGGACAAATCACTCAACCCTGTTTGCCTCGGGTTCTTTATTTGTAAAATAAGCTAGAGAAGGAAATGGCAAACACTTTAGCATCTTTGCCAAGAAAACCCCAAATGAGGTCACAAAGAGTCAGACATTACTAAAAAATGATTCAACAACAACAAATAAGAGAAAGAACCAGCGGATAGAGACTGAAAATTCAAAAGAAGAGGTATGAAGAGGCAAGTTCCCTAAGATGACAAGAGGCTTAAGGGCCCAAATGGGGGTACTGTTGGTAGTAAGGAAAAAGACTACCTTCTACTTTTGAGACTGGAGTAATTAACAATAGCTAGCATTAATATAGTGTTTTAAAGTTTGCAAAGTGATATACATATGTCATCTCAGTTAGGAGAGGACAGGATAATGATGAGGTGGAAGGGCCTAAAGAAGAGAGGGAGCTTCTGACAGACGGTCTCAATTTTTCCAGTAAAATGAGACAAAGTCCTATAAAAGGCTTTGTAAACCTTTAACTGATGAAAAAATGTCCATTATTCTACTATTCCATCCATGCCCTAAGCATGATTATGTAGCTATAAAAAAATAATGTAAACCCTACTCTCAAGATGCTAATAGTCTACTCTGAATTCTTCCACAGAGCTGTGATTTTGCCGGTGTGGCTATTTTCAAAGCTGTAGCTTGTAACCAAACCATACTTTCTCCATACTTTTGTCCATATCCTTCCAAAAATCCTGCTTAAGGGACCACCCTCTGCATCTGAACATTACGTGGGTACCAATGCCAAGCTCCTTCAGACCACGTGTTACCCCTTATTCTTGCTACAGGACTGGTCAATCTCCTCTTCCTGTCAGACATCTCTTATAACATGCCCCCCCACTTCTTATGCATTAAAATATGGCATAGTTTATTTATGCCAATCATTTGTTTCTCCATAGTCCTTCAACTTGCTCTCAATTATGACACCTGGAAACTGTCGTACTACATGACTTCCAGACATACAACATTACTGGGAGAATACTGGTGTGAAACAGATGGATTTTTGTTTCAAGGAAAAGTCTGGGACTCTTTCCCAAGTCCCATTCAGTCTACTTTCTTCTAACTTTTCAAATGTAACTCAGGTCACTGCATCCATTTTTAGTGTCTGGACAAGATACATGTACTGATGGAGATCACAATCAGGACAGTGTTCACTCACTTGGTTTTTCCTACCCAGATTGTTAGGCTGAACTCTTTTGAGTGTGTATATTCCTAGACACCAATACAGCTAGGTCCCTATTAGTGTGCAAGTAATAAATTCCCCAAAGTGGTCATATTATTTGAATTTTTACAGCACATTTCCACTGGGCTGGGACCAATGATCATATTTTACATAATTATAGTAACAAATAGAGTGAATTTAAATACATGATAGTACTTCAGGCGATGCATCACTTGTACTAATTGAGACTTAGATCAATCAGGAAAATCACTGAATAAAGTTCTCTCTGTTATATTTGTTAAGGAATCTCAAATGACCTTAAACACAGGGAATGGAAAACACATTGTTTGGAAAGCCTGCGCCTGTGTTTTCTTCTACCAAGTCAAATACTTTTTTTGTGGTCAACTAACAATAAGCACAGTGGGATCTTGTTTTCTTTGAATCTTTCAATGATGTGGTGTAAAGATCTGGTCTGCTGGAAAATATCATTAGAAGAGCATGCCTAATGCCCTCTCCTATTTTTATCAAAGATGCCATTAATAACAATACAGATTATTCCCAAAGATTTTGTAGAGATGTGAAACAAAGAATACAGGGGGTTGCATACTGCTGCTCTCCTGACTGCTTTCCCCCATGCAGTAATGCAGTCAGTGATTTCTTCTAAATATTTACTACTGTTCCCCTCTTTCAGACATCTTAAGAATTGATCTTTTTAAAAGAGCTTTTCAAATCAGGGGGCACGCCTCTATGGTAAGGAGGTATGAAACTTTCTTGGGGTGGTGTCAATAAACGACAGTCAAAATAACTGGGTATTTTCCAGCACACTTTATATACTGGAAAATTAATAAGGCACTGATTTAACTGAAAACAAATTTAAAAGCAAAGTTAACAAGAGACTAATGTGACACGTACCAATAGACAGTTAGATTCACTTTACTCTGCCACAGGGCATCAAACATCTAACAGGGCACACCCAAGCAAGGTCACACGTGAATCAGCCTGTGTCAAATTTCAATGCAAGGGGATCTGCCACCGTCACTGTCAGTTATTGTAGGCTTATGTCATAGATGAGTTATGCCACTTTGCTTACTACAACTGACATGGAACGCGTAAGCTCAAAGTGAAACAACCCTAGTGCTGGAATTTAAAGCACCATAAGTCATTATATTTCTCAATGTAATTCATTTTGGTCACTGCAATATAATAAGCTAGTTCACAAAAAACCCTGCAACTTTAAAAACTGATATAACCCAAGAAGAATTATAATGGAAATTTTCAGCACTTTAGTTGCCACATTTTTATTGTAAATACATTTTATTAGTGAGATAATATCCCTTCGTGATGAATAAATAAACAATTACTTAGAAGAGAAAAATCCACCAGGGTAGCTAAAACTAAAAGAAAAAGAAATAGGCATAGTATAAGTAGCAGGAAATGCTAAATGTAAAAAGCAGCATTTGATAAGAGAAATATTGGTGCTACCTATAACTACTGATATAGTTGAAACAATGCAAAGCACTCTAAATGGTTCCACCTGCAGATATAACAGAGTGGGAAGGACAACTGTCCATATGTCAGAAGACCTTTGTAATCAATTAACTGAGAAATTAAATTCTTTCTATTTTGTAGTATGAATAGGTGAAGGAACAGATGTAGCTATAGATGCTTACTTGATAGCCTAGAAACAATATTATAAATGACTTTAGGGAAAATATGTTCTTTCTCAATGCAGTATTAGGAGAAAATTTCATTATAATTGAAAAAAATTTTTTAATGAATGTGGGAGAATTGTTTTGGACTCTAGTGATGGAGCTCAATGTTGGTATAAAATGTGGCTTTTTTGTGCAATCTGGATATG